TTAAATGGCATCCCCTTATTTTTTAAATTGTTCCCCTGTTCTAGACTCCCCAAACAGGGGAAGTATCTGTCCTGTGTCTACCCTTTTAAGTATTTTGCAGGTTTCCAATTAGACAACCTCTCATTCTTCAGAACTCTACAGTATTCAGAGTTTACCCAATTTCTATTCATTGGACAGTGGTCTTAGCACTAAGCCTTGTGAAACACCACTGTCTTCCCTTCTGTAAATGTGCAAACCAACTATTTACTACAACTCACTGTACTATCCTTAAGCCAATATTTAATTTAAGCTGACACTGATTTGCCTATTCCATGAGTCTCACTTTTGTTAACTAGTCTTTTCTGATATTTTGTTAGATGTTTTTAAAATCTATACAGGTCATATTCTCTTCAATAGCGTTCTCTGTTATTATCAAATATTTGGTTCAGAAGAATTAAGCATGATCTGCATTTTGCAAATATGTGTTGATTCTCCTCACTTAACTCAAACATCTTTCCCAAATGCTGGTTGATATTCCTTCCTACACTCTCCCCTACCCCAAATTACTGTTTCCAAAATATTACCTATCACTGATATTGAAGAGGGTTTTAAATTCATGTGAAACAGCTGGAGTAAGCAATTTTCTAAGTGCTGATGCAGTTTCTGTCAAGATATCTTTCAGTGTTGAGCACATATTCTGTGAAAAAGGCACAAACAAAACATGAAGTACAAGAAGGTAAACAGTTTTGGAATGCTAGTGATTCTGCAGTTCACCTAGACAAGACATTATTGTATTCTCTTGACAAAAGATGATATCTCTCATCTGGGTGGTGGATAAGTCTTAACACTATTAAATGATAAAATTAGAGAAAAGAAGAAAGTTGTGTCAAAAGGTACAAAGACAATTGTCGTAGATTAAAAATCCTGCTGAGACATGCTGGTGTGTTGGATGAATAAATGAGACTTAGCTGTCAAAACTGAAAAAAAAGTATCACAGGACACCTGCACATACAAATATAAGCATTTCACAGGCATGAGACTTTAACGAATAGTTGCCAGGGCCAAAGGCATGGGACAATGACAAATATTTTCACTCTACTGACCTCGTAGTAAGGACAAAAGAATTATTATGGACATTATTATGAAAATGGATTGGGAGGAGACTTGGCGCACCAGTAAAACTTGAGACTGATAATATGGGGAACTTGTCAATGATGAATTTAGAGATCTGAGAGAAAATATGAACATCATGATCATGAAAGTCCTTTCAGCTGTGGACCCTTAAAAGAATCATGCAGCAAGCAATGAAATGTTGCACGAAATTTTAGCCGATCAACTAGACTGCAAGTTGACAATTGCTCTGACTTAGGTGATTAATACAAAGAATTCATGCCAGATATTGGAAGATATGGTTTTTAAATCAACTTATTTTTGAGCAAAACCCCAAAGTGTCTTCTTTTCATTGCATTGGCCTTCCTACTGTAGAAGATGCAACAGTTAGGTCCAAACAGATTATATACTACGGAGAAACCTTTTGTCAGTGCAAGAGGGAGATCTTGCATCAGTAGTCCTGACAGACAAACATCACAGCTTGAATAAAGTTACACAATGAAATTAAAAAAAAAGTCATTTAACAACTTGTGAACCAGAAGCAGAAGTCCCCATGATTGTGAAGCTTTAGTGACTGCCAATAAACCTGAGGATAAACTATTTGAGAGGCAAAACAAGGATTTAGATCGCTGGAAAGAATTTATTCTGAGGTAGCAGAAAAAGGCAACTAGTCCTATTGCATAAATGGACTTGTATTAAAATATTTTTTAGGCTCAAATGAAGCTAGTTATGTGGGACTTTGTACAATGCCTATGAGGTACAGATGTTGAAGCGGACTCCTGCACAGCTGGAAAAGTAAATGAAGAATGTTTTTAGCTTTTTCAGCCACAGTCACAGGAGTCTACATCAATCATCACAAAACCACACTTCTGCAGGGCGATACTTTTTCAGGAAAATATGCTTACAAGACTGCAATCAAAGGAAGCAAAAACGGAAGGAAAAAGACAGAAACTAAACAAACATGCTCATTGCCTGAATTACACCCTCTTGTGGAATTTTTCAGCAAGACCCTATGTTCAACTAAGAAAAGCAGATCTTGCAATATTTTATTGAGAACAAAGGAAAACTTTCAGGCATTTCTTTTGGTTTGGTACCCTGGAATTGGAGAAATGTGTTAATAAGATTAGAGCAGAATTTAAAGATTTAAAATTCAGAGTCAGGCATACAGTGGTTTTAAACATACTGGTTTAGATATTAAGCACAGTAGGTCTAGAATAACTGTAAATCAACAATTCTGAGAAAGTGTTGTTTCCATTCCAGTTAATTATGCGAACTCAGCACAGAAAGATGATGTTCTTTTAACAAAAAAGAAAGAGCAATTGAAAAGTTTAACTGATCTGATGAATCAGCTACGTGCTCTGAATAGAATGCGTATTAGTTTTGATGTGTTGGAGTTAAATATTGCAATAAAGCATCCTAAAGTAAAGAATGATTTAAGGGAAAACAAAGCATCAAGACTATTAAGTCTGGATAAATGCATTTTTAAGATCCAATCCTTGTCTCCTGGAGACACAAAATTAGGCATTGTTAGCAATCTTCCTGTTGGGGTATTGTACTGCAATTAATTTCATTATATGTCTTGTAGGTCAGAAATGGGAAATAACAACCTGTAGTTTGGGAAGCTAAAAAAACAAACAAGGACAGCATTCAGTAAAGCGCAAACCTTAGCCATGATGTGTTAACTCAATATTATTACAATTACACAGCTCTCTTGTGCCTTTTTCTCCGTATTTGATGCTTTGTAATCAAAGTTCAAAAATAAATACTTTCCTTAAGAGCATTCATCTCACATGGGTAGCTTCAGGTTAGTCCATATCCAACAACCTACTTTGCAAAATGCTTACATTTTGACAGCTGCGGCAAATTCTGTGACAGCAGCCAAGAAAATCTACAATATTTTAAAAGAATCAGCAACATTCCAAATGTAATACCCCACATCCTTCTTAAAAAAAGTCAATGTTAATGGATCCCTTGAAAATGTATAGGTTCTAGACATGCAGTTTCGCTAAAAATGATTTTTCCTCAGGCTGGATTCTGTCTATGTGATAAGTTTTGTTCAAATCTATTAATATTTGCAAAGACACGGACGAACAGAGGTAGAGAGGTTACCCCTGATCACCTTCGGTGGCGAATGTCATAAAAGTTTGCTGAAAATACTGTTAACTGCTGAAGCACTGGCTTATGTTGAAGCAGTAAACATGGGATTCTGTTTGTTACATACTTTGTGAAATTCTAAACAAGGGACAGACTGAAAATAGAACTCATTATCATGTACATAATTGTTCATTTTGGGGCAATGCCAACTCTACAAAAGGTAGAAGTGATGAAAGGTTACAGTTTGACCAAACTGGCTTGAAATCAATGCAGGAGTGAAAAGAAATCTCTAAAATTAAATGGTGATTGTGCAAGTGAAAATCTGCTGAATTTATTTTTGACAACACGTGTTTGTATAAAAAAAAGCCTAAAGAAGAGGGTCTTGCAATGTAATGCTATCACAGAATACAGACATTTGTGATTAAATTATTTTAAAATTTTGGATATACATATTAATTTTATTTTTATTTAGAGATGGAGAAGAAAATATGTTTCTTATATATTAGAGATAGTAGGACCTGCAGATGCTGGAGAATCCGAGACAACAAGGTGCAGAGCTGGATGAACACAGCAGGCCAAGCAGCATCATAGGAGCAGAAAGGCTGACGTTTCGGGCCTAGACCCTTCATCAGATGGACCCTGCACCTTGTTTTCTTATATATTAATTGTGTCTGACTGAATGCAAGTATTGGTCATTAACTGTGGATTAATTTAAACTGCTGTAAACGGACAAAAAGAACTGCGGATGCTGTAAATCAGGAACAAAAACAGAAGTTGCTGGAAAAGCTCAGCAGGTCTGGCAGGATCTGTGAAGAAAAAAAATCAGAGTTAACATTTCGGGTCTGGTGACCCCTCCTCAGAACTGATAGGAGCTGGGAAAACATCAGTTTATATGCAGAAAATAGAGAGGGGGTGGGGTAGGGAGTAAACAATAGGATAGAGCCCAAAGACAGAGAAGAGCAGTTGGACAGACAAAGGAGTTGATAACGATCTGGCTGGGAGGGTGAATGATTTTTAATGGGGACTGTTAGTGACTAACAATAGGTGGTGCGTAATGGCAGGCTATGTGATAGTTCTGAGGAAGTGTCACCAGACCCGAAACGTTAACTCTGACTTTTTCTTCACAGGTGCTGCCAGACCTGCTGAGCTTTTCCAGCAACTTTGTTTTTGTTCCAGATTTACTGCATCTGCAGTTCTTTCGGTTTTTGTTATGTGATAACAAGGCCTGGTGTGTGGGATAGGGGAGTAGGACACGGTAGAGTTTAGGCCCTAAAATTATCAAACATTATATTCACTTCCTAAGACATTGCGATAGTGTTAGGAAGTGAATGTTACAGTATGTCACTTGCTTAATAAATTATAAATAAATAAATAGTTAGAGATTGGCTCCATTTCTGTGCTTTACTTCTGAAGAAAAACTAGTTATTATTCAACCAGAAAATAAAGATAATAAAGAATAGCTAGGCTCTGTTCCTCTGCTTAAGGATTTCACCTATGAACAGAGAGCTATTAACAGATTAGTCATTAGTCTCCAAAGTAATACTGCAATGACATCTTCACTGAATAACAAAGAAAACTTAAATGAGGTGAAAACGAATGTTGTACAAAATGGATCCTGGTGCTACATACTGACACTCTGCATAGTTAGTTCCCACTCTATTCTGATCTGAGCCACAAAGAGGTGTGAATCTTTGGAAGGGGGGAAACATGTTGTCACTGGAGTAGGGAAAAAGAAGGAAAGGATGCTGCAGCAATCCATAGCAAGATCATGGGGATAGATTCATCAAGGAAAATTCTACATAATTTCTAACACTTACTTAATTCTTCTTGATGTTTTTCTGTCTGTTTGAAGTACTGGCGCAATTCTTCTGTTATTTCCACATTGCTGATATCACATTCTATTTCACTATCTGAATCTGTTTCCCCTTCTGTGTCAGCATTTAAACAGGCTTCACTGCTCAAATCTCCCATTTCAATCTCTGAGCTGCAGTGCTCTTGGCTTCTGTGGCTGTGCTCACTTTGCTGAGTAAGTCTTGAAGAGTAGTACGAAAATCCATTATGCAAGTTAGCAAAGTGCGTTGCTTCTGGTTCTGTGTAATACCAAGGAGAACACTCAAGTGATTCGACTGCCTTGCGATAAGCACGTCTATGTTTCTGTAGCCAACCCATAGCTAGCTGATAATGCTGCCAATATCTGGAATACATTTTATGATTGTACCAAGTGAGTGAATCTTCTCTCATTTCATCACACTGTTAAAAACAAAACACAAACAATTATTTGATTTCCTTTTCTTCTCCAATTTTCCTCCTTGTTCCATGAACGTAACATTTTTGGTTTACATAGAGGGTCTGGAATTGTGTGCATGCACATTTCGAGAGGAGCATACTTGCACAATTGCCCACCATTGCAAGTGTCAACAGACACATCCAATACCTTATGCTACGATAGCAATTCTGCAGATACAAATGCAAAATACTGCCAATGCTGGAAATCTGAAACAAACATCGAGAATGCTGGAGAAACTCAGCAAGTCTGACAGCATCTGTGGAGAGAGAGTCAATATTTCAAGTTTGTATGAGAAGATGACTCATACCAAACTCAAAACGATATCTGTTTCTCTCCCAGAGACTTCCAGACCTGCTCAGTTTCTCCAGTATTGTGCCTCATTCCAGATATGATGCCCAAGTGATCTGTAGCCAGTTACAAACTGACACTGAATCTTTAGATTGGGAAACTAAGAAAATACAAAAGTACTAAGCCACTAATTGGAATCAATTTGTCAGATATTATAAGCAAGATTTTGTACAAGGTATTATGCAGATGATCATACATTGTAAGATAATATCAACTGTGACTAAAGTGAGTGTGAGAAAAGGATAGTTTGCCCTACCTGGCTTGAAAAAGAGAAAGAAAATATCTAAAATTAAATGGGTGGATGCAAGTCATCAACTGTCTGACTGTTTTACAAACGGAAACGTTCAACCAATAAATTATTGGGGTGTTAAAGGAAGAGTGTCTTGCAGCGTAACATTTTAAAAACACGGAATCTTTTGATTTAAATAGTTTTCAAACTCTGGTTGAACAAATCAACCCTAATTCGTTATGCAATCAAATAAGAAAATGTTGGAAACACTCAGTTTAGCCATATCTGCAGAGCGCTATAACATCTGCTACATCACTTGCTTTTGTTTTAGTGAATGCATGCAGCCTATTTCACAGCTGACCCAATTTAAGACTATATCAGAGATAGTAGGAACTGTAGATGCTGGAGAATCTGAGATAACAAGGTGTAGATCTGGATGAACACAGCA